GCTTGAATTTTTGGGGCGTTACAGTAGATGTTGTTTCGAACTCACCTTTCACAATGATTGGTAGGTGTTCTGAAGTTTAGTAGCGGAGGAGCCTATATCTATGTTATTGCTGACTCCATTTGAGATTTGATATATAAGATGTTCAGTCGATTGAGCTTGTATATTGGAGACTGACTCTCGCTTCACAATTTTGACACCATTATCGACTATATAAGTGCAAGCAGTTACCCCACCATTACGAGCCTTGAAAAAATTGAAGGATGTTTGTACCTACAAAGCTAGAGACAAACAACTAGCTGATTTTGACATCAATTTCAATGGTAGAAATCAGTTAGGTCCCGATGACAAGAAATGAAAAAAATGACAAGTAACAAAATCATCAACTTTCTCTATGAACTTGAAAAGGTTGATGGCAAAGCCGCGGTGGGACTGTGGCTGCAAAAATGTATAATTTTTTTCTTCTAACTTTTAACTCTTTCACTTGGGTCCCCAAATTCTTCTTTAATTCCTTCCACACCCGTCTAGTGTTGTAAATTATGTCATTTTCCTTGAATTCTTTATAATTTGCTCCTCACCATTTTCAATTCATAACGTCTTGATCCGACACAACTTTAAAAAGTTCACGATTTAGTCCCCAAATTTTCCAATTGTCAACTTTGCCTCCATAAACTCATGAATCTCATCCAATTGCTTGAATACTTCTTCCAATTGATTGATTGCAACCCGAATGATATTCGAGTGCCCCAAATCAATATCCAACTAAGCTCAAAATCACCCTATCCATTTTTGGAGAATTTTAGGTCGATTTTGATAGCAACACGTTTTTTTTTTTTTTTTTGGTTATGAGTAAATAATTTTGTAATTCAATTTATGGCTTTTAATCTTCATCATTATTTAGATCATTGAATGTTCTCGTTTATTCGTTCTTAAAAAACAACTCACATTCTAAAAATGTAATTTGTTGTGCAATTATAACTTAGGGCCAATCAAACTTCAGCCAAATGTTCCCTCGAGACTTAAAGAATTGGGAATTGAACTTCAATGAAATGTTTCATCGAGGCCTTAGGAGTTGGGAATTAGCATTTTCCTTGAATTCTTTAGCTTTCCTCTCACCATTCTCAATTCATAACATCATGATCCTAAGCAAGTTTCGAAAGTTTATGATTTAGTCCCCAAAATTTTTAATTGTTAACTTTGCTAGATCTCGTCATATTTCTCCAGTATTTCTTCCAATTAATTGATTTCAATCCGAATGATCTTCAAGTATCCTAAATCGATATCTAATTAAGGTCAAAACCGTCTTATCTATTTTTCAATAATTCTAGGTCAATTTTGAGTGCAATAGACCGAATGGACCAAAACGCCTTTTTTCAGTTTTCAAATAATTTTTATTTTTTATTTTTTAAGCGAATAGTGTTATCATTCAAATTAGGGCTTCAAGCTTCGACCAAATGTTCCCTCGAGGCATGATGAATTGGGAATTGGACTTCAACGAATGTTCCCTTGATTCTTATTTTTGAGTTTGAACCTTTCGGTCAAGAGACGCAAAAACTCCTTTTCTCTATGACAATTTCAAAGATAAAAAAAAAGGTAGGATTTAACCACAGAAATTAAAAGGGAAATTTAATCTTTTTTTTTTTTAATGACAAGTCAATTTTAAATACATATTTAAGATGAAGCTTTTGAAAAATGTGTGAAGAACTAGAAGGGAAGAATTAATTTCAATGCATTAATTCATTTAAATTAATTATAAACTCACATCATTTTTACTAATATCATACCTTAACGATCAATAAATACATTTTTTCTGTGCACTGGAAAATTTCGTTCTAAATTAACTCAATTTTAACCTTTATATTTTTTAAAGAAAAAAAATTGACTTTCAAAATATCATCTATAATTCCAAAACTCACATCATTTTTACTAATATCATACCTTAACGATCAATAAATACATTTTTTCTGTGCAGTGGAAAATTTCTTTCTAAATTAACTCAATTTTAACCTTTATATTTTTTTAAAGAAAAAAAATTGACTTTCAAAATATCATCTATAATTCCAAAACTTCTCCATCTAATTTAGCCAGTCCCTCCCAAAGTTTCAACCCTTCCCTCCAATTTTTCCCCAAAGTTTTTATATTCGTTCCCTCATTTCCCACCCCCAATCTATGCCCTTCTTCTCTCATTTTCCCCCCATATACCCCATTTCCCCTTCATTCCTGCTCATCATATGCAGAGTTTACAGCATCCTAATCACTTTTCAACCATTTGATCCTTCCAACTCATGCCGACGTTAACTTCAACTGACTACTAGAGTAAGATGGAGTTCCATGCCTAGGGTTCCCAAATTACAAGATGAGGAGGATAATGACTGGATTGAGAAGGGATCTGAGGATACTGTTGGGTCTCTTTCTGCAAATGATAATGATGGACTTGATTGTAGAAAAAGGGGTCCTAAGCATGGTATTAATGTTTGTGCAGATGAATCTGGAAGAATTCCTTTAACTGTGGGAGGCATTATGTATTTATCTGAACTTTTGTTTTTGGGATTTTAGTTCGAATGCAAAATGGTATCATTGATTTCAAATGGATTGAATGACTGTGGGAGACAGGAAGTATACTTTGGTTTATCATGTCCATCTTCTAGTAAATGGAACAAGGTATATTTTGGATAAATGTTTTTTATTTTGTTCCATGTTATGATTTTTATTGTCCCTTTTAGAGTCCAGAAATTTTCTGTATTCTTTTAGGCATTTGACGCATTTGCAATTTTAAAGTACCATTGTGTTGTGGTAAAAGATGGCTAGCAAATTCTTGGGGTTATTCTTAATTTCTCCAATGATTTAAATTGAACAGAGTATTTAGGTTTATCTCTATTGAACTTGAAAATGCTCAAGAATCTGGTTTTCTTTGGGTTTCATATTAGTGAAATGTATGCATTTTTGGGTTCTTTCCTGTGGATTTTCTTTAATGAAGTTGCCCATGAAAGTTGGATTTGAACACATTTTTTGTTTTCCATCCGTAATGCATCAATGTCTTATGAGTCTAGAAAACTAGTAATAATATTCCACAATTCAAAGTTGCTCCCAAAAGTGTGGCTGAGGTTGAGTGATTGTTAAGCATTATATGATAAATATGATTGCAAGGGTTACATGAAAATGGGACTTAAAGTTTTTTATTGAGATTATTGCTCTAGTACAATGCACTTTAATATGACATTACAATGCTTTAGTCTAGTAATTGTCATTTTCTTCTTGTCTTATACTTTCTTTTCTT